AGAAAGAAAGGAAGGCAGCTCTCCCCTTACTGCTATTAGTGATTGTCAGTGTGATAAATGCCTTTTGGGGCAAATCTCAGTAAAAATAATAAAATAATAACAATAGCATTGCCTCCTCCCTAAGGGTATTTTCATCCAGGCATCCTTTGCTTACTACACTTTGTAGATCCACTCTTGACAGCATGCCTAACATAGAGGCCCACAACTCTCACCACCTAGAGTGCTCTCTACACCTACCTGCCTCTTATCCATCCCCTCCAGCTTCTTCCCTCCTCCATGGGGACTTCCCAGATGGAAGTCTCTCCCTCCTTCACCTTGGCTGTCATACTCTACAGCATACCCCAGTGTTTTTCCTACCATCAGTGACACCCCCCCCCGGTTCATTTTAGGCCTATACAGGCCCCATCAGTTGCATCTGCTTTGTGTTAGTTGCTTACACATGCCCTTGGGGTGTGGACTTTTGGTGGGCAACTGTCATTTTATGGACACATCAGTATGTAGCAAAGGTTTCTTGGGCAGGGAGTCAGGAAACTAGAATTCCTTTTAGAGACCATGATCTGGGGAACCTGGCAAATGCAGCTGAGTTTTCAGGGCCTCACTTGCCTTCCCTATAAAATGGGTAGGGATTGGCCTAGATTCTCCTTCAGATCCTCAGAATAATTCAAATATAAAGGGTGTGGATATTTTCATTTCTCTCACCCTCAGGGCTCTGCACATGTTAGCCTCAAATCATTCTGTAGACCACAAAGGTGGCCAAGGGTTTCCAGGTTATCATTTGGGCAATGGGAAAGTGATACAAATGACAAAAATGCATTGTTATGATTCAAGCTACTTTGTCTTCCTACAAGTCTACTTTACAGTGCAGAAAGGCCTGCCATGGTTTTGGATTCATCATCTGCTCTGCCTGTCAAAGTACTCATCACACCTGAAGGCCACTTCTACAAATGTCCTGCCTTCTCTAGAAGCCACCCCAGTGCCTTTCCACACTCCCCAGGATGGTTTGCTCCTGTCTTCAGGCAATTATTGTTGGTCATACAGATGCATCTGTTGTCATCTAACTGGTCTTCTGAAAGGTAGGGGCTATTGCTGTTTAACTCTCCCAGTGCCTTTGTTTTAATCAGCAATCAGTAATCAATTCTTTGATGAACAATGTGATTAAACTATTCAGGCTTTGAGTGCTACAGGCCTTCTCCCATTCCCTCCCTTTCTGTTGCTGTCTTCTTACTGCTTGTATACTTTTCATCAAAGAGGGATGGCTTTTTGAGAGATGGTAATAAGTGGGAGGAATTGGTAAAGGCAAGTCAGTAGCTTTTCTATTGTGGTTTGATCGGGCAGTGTGTAGATGTGACTTGATAAGATCCTGAGATCATGGCTTGCTGTGCAGGCTCCAACTATGCTGCTTGTGTTTGGACTCAGCATCTAAGTGGGCTAGACTATGTGGGACCCTGGACTGGATCATGGGACAGAAAAAGGATATTAGTGGAAAAACTGGTGAAATTCAAATAAAGTACCAATGCTAATGTCAGTTGTAACAAATGCACCATGGTTACGCACCATTTAACCTTTAGGGGAAGCCGGGTGAAGGTACATGGGAAAGTTATACTTTATCTTTGAAATTGTTTTATAAATCTCAAATTATTCCAAAGGACAAAGTTTATTTTTTAAAAAGTGAGTGGGCCACAGTGAAAACTTGAGTTTGGCTAGCAGTCTTTTATTGCGTGAATATTCTCACATCTAGTTATATCCCAACAATTTGTAAAGTAAGGTTGAAAATGAGAACTGCAGGGAAGTTTAGAAATTCTCCTGTGAAAAATCCATGAAAAGGCAGCAGAAAAGAAAAATGCAAAACAAACAAAAAATGGGACCCTGTTCAGCTGATGTTAAAGTGGGAAGCTGGGCTGGGTGAAATGGCTCACACCTGTAATCCCAGCACTTTGGGAGGCTGAGGTGGGAGGATCACTTGAGATCAGGAGTTCAAGACCAACCTGGGCAACATAACTAAACCCTGTTTTTATAAAAGAATAAAAAAAAAAATTTAACCAGGTGTGGTGGTGTGTGTCTGTAGTCTCAGCTATTTGGGAGTCTGAGGCAGGAGAATTATTTCAGCCTGGGATTTGAGGCTGCAGTGAGCTATCTTGCACCACTGCACTCTAGTCTGGGCCACAGAACAAGACCCTGTCTCCTTAGAACAAAAAAAGTGGGGAGGCAGAGGGTCATTTAAGAGGTAGGTCAGCCCAGTAGCCAGGGCTCAAAGTCAAAGTCAGGATACTGGCTACTTGGTTTCGCTCCAAAGACTTAAGCACCATCCTTTTGCCTTATTTTTCTCATCTTTAAAATGACCTCACAAAAAAAAGAAAGGAAAAAAAACCCCTTCAAAAAACAAAGTTTCCCAATCCTCAAAATTTGGCCCCCCCCCCCTTTTTTTCCCTCAAGAACAGTAGAGATTCTCACGCACAAGCTGGTTATGGTCAAAAACCTCGCGCCAGCAGGTCTGATTCTGTGTGAGCATTTCCACTTTGCACTTGGCCGTCTGGCTTCCTCTTAGAAGAATGCTCATACCAATGCTAAAGCCATTCGACTTTTAATATAGTGTAACAGAGGTGAATGAGGACCCTGCTATTTTCTGTGTTACACAAAGGGTCTTTCTTTTACCTAGGGAAGCCAGACACCAGTCGAATGCTGGTTAGGCTCCGCCATCTCCATCAACGGGTTGGTTCTCTCCCTTTTCCAAGCACTGACACTTTCATTACCTCACACCAGATTTTCTTAACTCGACCCATGAACAAATACCCATGCCTAGATTCCAGAGAGACTTGTCGATTCCTTAAAAGCTAAATGTGTCATTTCATATATGTGCTTTTTTACTATGGAGTGGTTTCATTCATCTTCAAAGGGTCTACAAATCAAAAATGGATTAGATATTCACCTTTCCATAGCAAAACAAACAAAAAAACCCCCCAAACCCTAAACAATAAGGCACTTGTTATACTTACGTATAGATTCAGTAATCTTAATGTCTAGCACTTCATATAAATACCTAGACATTGTCTGGCTGGCTGATGTGAACTTCTGTCTCTACAGCACCCAGCATCTACCCAGGGCTGCACCTCAATGCACACGTGCTTGTAACTAGCGTTTTCTCCTAGCTGTGCCATTGAGTCTTCCTGGAGACTTGTGGATTTTCACTGCAGGCACATTTGTACATCAACCTTCTCGACTTAAATGATCTCTCAGGAATACCAAGCCACTCTGGCTCTTCTTGCCCTTCTAGTCCTTTTAAAACTGGCCATGTTTCTTTATAACACAGGCCATGACCAGTGAGAATGTGCACTTGTAACTAGTTTGAAGCAGAAGCGTGCCTTAGGGAAAAAGAGATCTTCTGGCTGGCAGAGCATGAAGAGTCTCAAGTGAAATTTAAATGTATGACCCTGGGGTGATGTGACTCTAAGAAGTGCAGTAGTTCTTTTTGTTTTCAAAGTCTTCCTTAAAGAGGTGTGCACATGAAATCTCTCAGGATATTCATCAAGAGAAAGGCAGTCTACAACTGAACCTGAGAATACAAATTTCATTCACTTGCTTTTAAATGAATGGATCCAATTATAAGACTAAAAATGATTCCCTATTTCAAGTCCTATGGATACTCTTCTCTGTTTCATTTCTAACATTACTGGGATCTTAACTTTTGGATAATATTTTGGTTTCTCCAGCAATTTAACTTCCCTTTGAAAGTGAACCAAGGTCTAAGTTTGATGTACCTTATTATGTGGTCCTTTAAAACAATGTTAATAGACTGTGTAAGAGACACTATAGGGGTACCCAGGTTCATGACCCCTTTTTAGTAGTGGTTATATGATCAAATATAATACTAAAAGACTAAATGCTTGTGGCTCTTTTATATATATTTAAAACACACAGTAAGAACATAAGAACATCTCAAATCATTTAGAAGGTAAAAGGGGGTTATCAACCAAAATCTTTGGAAATTTCATAAAATTTAAATATCTGCTAACAATCCAACCAAAAAGAAAAAAAAAATTCCCAACATTTGGCTATGGAGGGCACTTCACATGTGAACCAAATGGCGTTGTAACATTTTCCTTCAGGTAAACTAGTCACTAAATCCCATTAGAAAGAATACAAGAGCAATACTGGAGACATCCCCAAATACCACATACTCAATTAGAACATTCTGTTATGCTGTGCTCTTCTGCCGCGGGTTTCCCTTTACACTGCATACATCACATTTCTACAGTGCAATGTCGAAACAGCCTCCAAGTTTTGCAAAGTAGGTTGATGTCCATTCTACAAAAATATTAACTTACAGTACATAACACTGAATAACTTTAATCTGTACATATTTTCCTCCTGTAATAAGTGACACACGTCAGTTTGTACAAGTTAGAAAAAAAAAATCTGGTTGTTTACATCTGGATTAATAGTCAATAGAGGCAACCAGAAGTGACGGGGGTAGGGGGGTAGGGATAGTTTGAGAAAGTATAAATACAGTGTAATAGTAATTGTGGTTAACAATATTCAGCTTTTAACAAAGTGATACAAAATAAATCATCTTAGATTTTTGACTGAAAAGATCTAGTTGAGAATGTTCTGTCAAACAGCCGACCAACTGATCCAAAAGGTTAAGGCTGACTTGACTTAGCAACCTGCAGCACAACCAAAAACATTGGTGCAGTTCAGAGCTCTTCGAGTGCATAGCTTCAGTGTTACACGCACATTAATTATTTTCCTTCAATTAGTAAATCCTCTAGACAGTTTTTTGTTTTGCATGCATCCCGTTCCATTTTCATTAAGGGCATCTCTTCCTTGATCAATCATGTGCTTTGCTTTTCAATTTGTTTTTGTAATTTTTTTATTTTTATGTTTTGTTTGTTAAGCTGTCAATACCTCCAACACTTGGAAAATGAAGTATAGATGCAGTTTTACTTACAGAAGAGAATCATAGCTATATGGACAATGCAAAATGAAATGAAACAAGTGTCAGAAACAGTTTATAAAAATGGCACATTTATTGCTACAGAACGGTCATGTACATGACTTCATCGAATAACTACAGATGAGAAACAGGTAATGGCCTAGACCAAGCTGGGTTTATTTTTTGTCTTGAAGGAACTCCAGCACACAACCTGTTCAGACACTTCTACAAATCAGAAATACACCAAAAACATGAAAAAATCGAGGCACTCAGCCACACATTGAAAACAAGGTGTAACTGTTTTATCTTTTTTTTTGAAATATTTTCCCTTTTTTTCTTTTTTTAACAATTTTTTTTTAGTTTTTAATGCTGCAGCTATGTGTACAGTCGCAAAAAATTTCCCCGCTGCGACCTACAACTAAAAAAAAAAAAAAAAAAAAAAAAAAAAAGAAAACAAAAACAAACAAAAAAAGCTACCATACAGTTTCATCTTGGTAACACATGGTAAAATAACATCTTTTAAATAGTAAAATAAAGTAACAAACTTTTACTCATAATGATTCCAAAAATCTACAAAGAAGAAATATTCAGAATCTGACAAGTTTTTTTTTTTGTAATATTCATGGTATAAAAGGATTGCTCCTGCGAAAAATAAGCCAAATATATTTTTTATTTTTAAATTTAGTTTTTTTTTTCTACTAGGGTGTACTACAGTCTATTTTATAGCAAAAAGAGCACTAGACAAACAAAGCTTTATAACAAAAAGCCAGGCACTGATACATGGTAAATCTCTGCTTTTTTTTTTCTTATCTTCACTTAATTGCATCACAAGTAACAAGAATGAAAAAGGCCACAGTTCATATATTTTCACCATTACATATGTCTATAATACTTGAAATGAGTATGGCAAAACCAGCACTGCACAAAGATGAGTCCACTTCAAGTCCCATGAGAAAAAGCATGTCTCTAAAGAAAAACAAACAAAACCAAAGCAAAATAAAGAGAGGCCTAAAGGCCTTGGTGCCCCATTGTGTTGGAATTCATCATATTCCATCTTGACTTTTTTGCTTCCAGTCAGCCAGCAGACTAAATTTTTGTGCTTGTTTATGCTGAAATTGTTTCATTCCTGACTCAAGTTCACTTTTGGACACAGATCATATTCTGCCTGTTGGATGCAAAGATGAAAATCCTCTTAACCCCAAGTCTTGGTTCAACTCCCTCCCCACTCCCCAACCCCTCATCAAAATAAAGATCACAAATAAAAAAAAAATAATCAAGAAATAGGAAAAAGTGAAAAACAAAAAGGAATCGGAAGACTGAATCAGAACCAGTTGCACCACTGGGTGGACTGACAGTTGTATAAACATTAGTGTTCCTTGCAGCTACACAGAAGACAAATGGTAAAAATTTCTAGATGAACAGATCCCTATTCTGCATATTCATAAATTACTTGAATGTGGAGGTGGATCAACTGTTCCAAGTTGCTTTTAAAGTCCAAGTTTCTTAAAGAGACCCCCAGCCTAAGTATCATCATATATATATATAGAGAGAGAGAGAGAGAGAGAGAGTGTGTAGTATATGGACCTTATGAAATTTTTGTATAGTACTTTAATCCTGTCTTCTGCTAAATTTCATTCCACAATCCAGTGCAGGATACCAATATCTTACCTGGGTTTGATAATTACAAAACAACAACAAGAAAAAAACACACTAAAAAGGCCACATTCCCTTTTTTTTTTTCTTTTTTAATGGGGATACAACCCAATTAATACGGATAGGTGCAAATCATGTTTCTCCACCAAGCAAAACGTAGCGAGCAGCTTTTGGTGGCCGTTAGAAAGTTTTTCTCTTATTTTCAAAGGGAGTTCAACAATAGAGGTATTACATTACCGAGTAATGAATACGTCAAAGCTGGTGAACAATAAATTGCAGCTTCTGCTCCGTTTGAGTGAGAACAAAAGATAAAGCACCAATTTAAAAAATAATCAAAGGACTACAATTTAATTTTTTTGCTTTGTTTACAGATTTGAAAAACTTTAATTCAGCTCTATTAAGCACCTTTATGATAACATGTATCAAAAGTGCCATTCTTAAAATGTACATCAATGCAGGGAGTGTTTCCAGTTCCCCAAAGAGTAAACACCATATTTTCTTCTATACACTTATCCTGAATGTGATCAGAGTATACCTGCTTCCTATATAATATTATTCCTAGGGATACCCGCCTTGGTAGACTATACAAAATGAGTGCAGAATGTACCACTAAAAGGAAATCTTTAACATACTGAGGGAACAAGTACACATGGTTTTCATTATTCAGGGAGGAGGGGAGAGTATACATTATTGTCTTCCATGCCCTTCTTTGAGCGTCTTTGTTCATACATTTCACAGGAAAGCCCCCAAATAACTTTTCATGAAGTTTGATTTCTGCTATTCTCCTAAAGTTTTAATCCACCTCCACATTTTAGGAACTTATCAACAAATCAAAGTATTTTAGTTTTATCGCTACTGAACATATTTACAGTTTTCAACACACACACAGCTAATCAAAATGTTTATGGGTTTGTAAAAGATGACCACGTGGTAACTATCTTATTTGTTCTTACATTTTCAGAAATGAACATAAAATTCAGATTCTTGTAGCTCACTATTTCATTTAAATGAGACTTTTTTAAACCACACAGTTTAAAAAAACAAAAACTGATACAATGTATTAAAACACATAATAACAAGAGTCTACATGTAAAAATATAACTTTTACATACACAATTTCAAAATAATGATACGTTTGCCATTTGTTGCATAAAATTTACAAATGTAGTTCATTACTATATAACTGGCAAAACAGGAGAACAGATGGAACATTTAGACCATTTCAATGGATTTATGGCATTTACTCAGTGCTGATAGGTGGAAAAACTACTTGAACAGGGATTTTTTTTTCTTAATACATGCCAAGATTGTGTGGCTGTAAAAATAGAAACAAGTTAGAGACAAAAGGATGCTGACAAATACTTAACTAGGAGCACTATTTGTTTACTGCACTATACACCAAAGTCAATCATTATAAAGATTCACGATGGAAGTTGGTTCAATTGTGCCCAGACGTCAAAGCTAGCTATCTGATGAGTTGCTGTGCCGTAGCTTGATCTATGTTTCTATCAAATATGTTAAGTATAAACTTCATTCATACTGGCCAGAGAAATACTGCACTACCCCTCCTCAAAAAAGTGCAACTTAATGCTTTAGGACTTCTAAGGCTTGTTATAATGCTGCATGATGATTGAATATTGGCATTTTTCAGACGAAGGAGGAGGCAGTTAAGTCATCTACATTTTAGTAAACCCATTTTGAAAAAAAAAATCAAGAAAGCAAGAAAATCAATCAGCTCTGTCACACTACTTGCAATTTTCTCATTTGACGGTTTTTGAACTTTGTTTTTTTTGTTTTTGTTTTTTTCCAAAAATCTGACCATGTATTCAGAAATGCCTCACTGCACACTACTTCGGCTACACAGGTAGGTAACACTTTAATCATTTTGTTAAATCACAGCCACTTTGATTATGTTATGTTTCCGATGATATAAACATTGGAAGGCACAGTGGTAACATTGTAGCATTCTAACCTTGTACCTCTGAAAATCCCAGAATAGGGTCACAAATGCAACATTACAATTCAGACAAACTCTTTTTGCCATGTCTTGGTAATGCTGCTTGTAATATCTACACATGATGTGACTTTTAAGTCCTGTGTTCCCAAAAGACTGGAGAAACAACTTTCTACTTATTTACGAATGAGAAGCAACATCAGCGTTTCATCCTGCACTACCCCTCCGGAAGCAGAGTTGGCACTACAGGTTACAATAACAAATCGGGGAAAGGGACAGAAATAAGACCAAGAAAAGAAAAAAAAAAAAAAGAAAGAAAGAAAAGAAAGAAAAAAAAAGAAAAAAATCCATATTTACAGTAAAATCTTTCTTTTAAAAAAGTTAATCAGTACTATTTTTTTACAGGAGAAAAAAGTCTGAAACAAATGAACAAAAGCTTACCATAGTCACTAAATTTTTAATATATATTTATATATATATATTTATATATATATTTGTCATAGGTCTATAAGATCCATCTGTTCCTCCTACCCTAAGGAATGGCTAATGTCATCACTTCGTTGTCATCAGGACGTTTGCTGGTTTTGTTACTAGGGCAGCCGAGCTTCCCCTATTCAATATCCAGTAATTATAAACACTAGCTGACTTGAATACCAACAAAAACGTTCATGTAGTTTTCTTCAGAAGTACACTTTTTCATTATTGCAAGTTTACAATTTTTTAAATTAAATATTTTTTTCAGACTTACAAATTAATTATATTTTTTTTTTCCAAAAGAAGTTTAGGCACAAATGCATTGTTCCACAGTGTGGAAAGATTGCCGTTCAGTCTCTGGGCTGCGTCTCAGCCTGTACATACTGCTTTGCACATTCTGAATGATATGTTAAAGAAAGTTGTCCCTCAAGTTGCACTTTTTTCTTTCTTTTTTTTTTGTTTGTTTTTCTGTTTTTTGATAATTGGGAATGCTGAAACCTCTTGCGTCTGTGATTCGTAACTACTCAGACTTGTCTTATATTACAAAAAAGGGGGTTAAGGAGAAGTGTTTATGTGGGTTTAAGATAATACAGCTGTTAAGGAAGTGGTCTCTTGTTTTAATGAAGCAATGTGGCAACTTGGACCTGAGAAAGGAAAAAGAGAGAAAAATTAATTAGTACATTTATAATCGAAGTACTTTTTTTTCTAAAAGAACTCTTTTTCCAAGAAAGAGAATTATCTGTTAATTTGGGTAAAATTGGACTTTCATGGCTGATGCACCAGTGAGAGTTATGAATGGATGATTTCAGAAATAGCTGAAAACCAACTTGCCCTTTTACATCTGTCCCATGTGATTTGATGCATCTCCCATTCCAGGGTGCGGGCCGGCCAAGGAGAGCGGGGGAGGCTCTGAGGACACCTTCTCTTCCTCCCTTCTTTTCAGACAAGCGGCTTTTGGGTTCAGATTCCTTTCTGTGGGGGATTAAAGCACAGGGCATTTAGTTAATGCCAAAGCTTCTGCTAGAGGGCAGTGACGCATCCTTCTGCATGCTTGACCCCTTTTCTCAGTCTTGACGTTACAGAAGGAACGAACACTTAGCCAGCGTGCACTACAGTGATTCTTTCTGGTCAGTCACTATTAGGAGCCGAACTGCACGGTGAGTCGGAACAGCCACTCTACAGCGTACCAAAGGCTGGTAGAGCCAATAAACTAAGCTCTGATTACTTATGGGACGTATGGAAAGTCACCATGTAGTCTTACTCCTAAGAGCATCCTATAACTTAATTCCAGGAGAAGAGGAGTCTGCCTTATTGACTGAGACACGATCTGCAACTGAAACAATTACTGGGAATGATGCTTAAAAGTCAACTGTCTGCTACTACCCAAGGCCAGGCGTCCACCTTGGCCTGCTCCTGCGGCCAGCTGCCCCCGGGCCCCGCGCCGAGGCCACCCGCCCTGCACTGACCTCGCACTTGCTGCTCCAGGCTGAGGATGACAGCCACGGCCTGGTGGAGGATCAGGAGCTTGGTCTGGGGCTTGTCGCTCTTGAGGTGGAGCTGCACCATGCGGCCCAGCTCCTTGAAAGCCTCGTTGATGTCGCGGACCCGCAGGCGCTCGCGGGCGTTGTTGGCCATCCTCCGCTCCTTCTCGCGCTCCGCCTTCTGCTCGGGCGTCAGGTCCTCGTCATCGTTATTGCTGCGGGCGGAAAGGGAGGCGGCATTTTCTAATGGTGTGGGGGGAAAAGAAGGCGCTTACATTGCTGTTGTTTTCTTCCAGAGTTTTCGGGGAAAACTTTTCCATGTCAAGCCAGGTCCTTGGCAGACTTTTATATCCACTTGACCTTGGGATTGATTGAGACGGCTGTGACAGTCCTTGACACACAAAGATATCTGGTTTCTCCAAGACATTCAAGCTAAACCACACAGGTGAGGATGCTCTGCATTAAAGTTAGGGCCCCGAGTGCGCAAATACTAACGGGGGCGGAGGGGGGCAGCCGGGGAAAACAAAGCTTTATAGATACGATTACACCCCAGCAAGTGGGTCTTGGCCAGCTGACAGGTAGACTAGACTGCATGGTCGCAGTTCAGAAAGACTGTTTAGACCTAACATTTTCTTTTAAAAACATTTCATACCGTGACATCTTAAACCTAGGGAAAATAAGTGACTGAAAAAAGACTTCGATAGGTCAAAATAAACACAAGGCAGCTTAACAGGAGTAAGAAGAAGAAGTCCTACATTTAAGACATCAGAGCAATGGGGTCGAGACAGTGGGGTTTTTGCCCAGGTGACACCATTAGCTTGCTTCGAAGGCCTGGTCAATCCACTTACCCTATCTGAGTCTCATTTTTCTCTCTGTGTTAAATATAACGCTTATATTTAACATGTTTATAATATAACATGATTTCTATGGTTGTTATTGTTATAGACATTTATGATTTTCAGGACAAGCTGGGAACACCTGAATTGATATCAGCTATGCAAAATAATACAAAAACCAAACACCTACCAATTATAAATGACCAGGATCTTGTTGTGAGTCAAAAATGAATCCAAAAGCTAATCTCTGGGCATGATAACCATATATTCTATGATTTGTAACAGAGGGATAGTGGGACCTAATATAGACTGAAAAGATCAGATCAGTTCTGTCCATTTCTGGGTGTCACAGTAACAAATTAGAAACTTTCTAATGGAAGGAAAATAGGATGACAAGCCATCTGGAAAGGACATCAGATGAGGAAGTTTTCATGGCAGCAGGTTTCAAATATTTCAAGGGCTATCATAAAAAAAAGAGAGATATGGAAGATGTCTCAAGAAGGCAGAACAGAACAAAGAGCAAATGATGCCTATTGTTAATTAACATGAACAAGAAAATTTTTTGGATATCAAAGACATAAAAAAAGAAGTAAATGTCACCAAAAAGCAATAGACTCCCCATTACAAGAAACAGTCTGGAAGTGACACCTGGTAATGATGTTAGCCTAGAGATTAAATTGTCAATCTATAGGACCATGAAGGTTAACCTTTACTGTAAAGGTTCACACATCTGAAATATTCACAGAACAAAGATGATTAACTATGTCATTTCAGAGCTGAAAGACATGGGAAGTTATCTCGTGAATGCAACATACATGTGGCGAATGCCGGCTGAACATGGATGGCTCTGACTTCCCATTCTGGAGAATCTCTGGGTAACTTCCAACTTGTAATAAGGACCGACTACACTGGAGAAGCTCTAATCAATCAAATATGGGAGTGGGGAGTGGCATTTTTGGGTTGCAAGTACATGTTGCACATAAAGATGATGTATGTAGCCAAAGACATTTGAGTGAAGAGTGGAAGTTAGGGGGGAGGAGGAAGACACTACAGAAAGTTGCTGTAAGACACCTTCTCCCCATAGCTTCTATGCCTTTCCAGATGTCACTGCCTACCACAGGTGAGTGCTGGTGATACACAACTCAGCTGAAGCAATCAGAAGAGGCCCCCTTTCTCCGCCTTCTCATGCTTTTCACTTGCTCTGATTCCTCCCCCCATGACCACTGCCAATGCCAAGGAAATCAAGGTTGCCATTAACTCGCTCCTATAGCCCACTACACAAATAAGACGTAATAAGTCAGAGGGAATGAAGTCAAGTCTCTTCTGAGCCTGTCCTGACACCAAAAATTTGGGTAATATTTTTATACATCAAAGATGTGCCATGCCTTACACAAAGGGGGCTTGAAAATGGGAACTTGTCTTCCAAAGGTTTTCAGGCTAATAACTAATTAGAATTGGCTATTCACTTATAAATAAATTGGTTATGCAAATAAAACTGCCTAGATTTGAAAAGCATTGCCTAACGACACAGCTTTGGAGGCATACGTAAGTAAATGTCACAAGAGTGACCTTTTAAAACAAGAAGCTTCTCAATAGCAAGTTAAAATGTTGTTCTGAAACTTCAAAGAATCCATTAATATGCATAAGTTATGGCCACTAGTTAAATTACCAAGAACTGACTCAGGATGTGAAATCCCCTCCTTGGGATTTCTTGCCAATGTGGCTGAGAATCAGGAAACTCTGCAAGGTTAGTGAGAAGGGGTAAGCTAGAAGCGATCACATTTTTGAAACTTGTGGCAGGACACGTAATGTAATTTATCTCAATAACTATAAGGGCAACATGAAACGGCAATGTGTTCTTAATCCATAAAGGATATTAGATAGAACACTGAGAACTCAGCTTTAAAAAGGATGCTGTAGTGTCAGTACAGTTAGTTTACTTTGCAAATAAAAACAACCCAAGGGAATTGAGGCGAAGTACATGGTGACAAGTTCTTCAAAACCCATCTGATTACCAGATTAAAGTACAAGGAGATAGATTTTAATTTAAAGATAACGGATATTTTAAAACAAACCAACCAGAAGCTATTTTCCTGTAGTTGTGTTTTCTGTAGAAAGTAGTATCCAGGAGGAAAAAAATTAGCAATCTAGGTATTATTCTTATATACATCAGCATGTTTAGGAGAAAGCTGGGAAATCACCATTTTCTTACTTTAAAGGTAAGAAAAAAGTAACAGTTGCACATATACCAATTGAGTTTTTAACATGGCTATGATCTCTTTTTAGAATTATTTTAGAAAAAAACCATTTCTGGTCAAATTTGTAGGACACGTATAGTTTTAAAAATAAAGCATTTGCACTTGAATCAGTTACAAATTTTTTTTAGCGTGTGTAGTTAGCACTGGGTCCAAATTCATAAATGCAAAGACATTTCAGGCTTCACTAGAGTACAGGTATCTTAAAGGATACTTTTGGTACTTCTAGATTTGGCCTTTAATTTTCTTTTCAGCTGTAGATTTACCTGCCAGGAAAAAACTGAATAGTTTCTTCCTGTTCTGTTCACTTCATCAAAGTCCAATAAAGGAATTAAATGAAGCGACAGTATTATATACTGTTACCTAGATCTTGACCTAGTAATTGATTTGATATCCTTCTTGTCGTCATCTAATTTCTTGTCCTCGGAAGATTTCGTGTCTTGCAGATTCTCATCGCCCTCATCGTCAGATTTGATCTCAGAGCTGCCGGAGGAGACACTCTGCCCCTGTAGTCCTGGTGGCATGCCTACAGAAAAAAAGAAACCAGGTGACATGAACGCCAAAAACTCGATGCCTATGCCCTAGATCGCAAAGCTGCCAACTAGACAAGTTATACTGCTGAACTGTGATCCTTCTGTCACTTTTTTCCTGCTATCTGGTGAAGTTTCAAAAATGCACCTGCAGAAACAAGTTTTCCCTGCATTGGCTCTAAGGTTAAATTCTATTTTGCAATCTTTTGGAGTAGATGGTAATTTCACTGTCTACAAAACATCAACTTAATTGCAATGAAAATCATAATCATGAAAATCACACACCTCAATGTTCTGATTAAGAACCCAAGTAAATATCAGCTATTATATTGAGTTTCTTCCATATGCAATGATTTAATAGAAAAATGTCCTTAAAATATAATTCCCAGGGAGTACGCTAAATATGTGCAGTCAAGACTTCAATAGATACCCTAATGATATTCCAAAATTAGGCTTCTCTTATTCTCAAGGAGTAATCAGCATTTAAAAATGGTACATATGGAAGGCAGTTTGCTGCTCACTGAAGAAATTTCAAGCTTAAAATATATATTTCTCAACTTTTTAAGATCACACTACATTTTAAAACATAACCCTAATGTAATAATGTATTTCAAAGGTAGAAGCATGCATGTTGAGTATTTCCCTCTATTTGTAATGTGTGTATTCTAGACCCCTGTCACTCAAAATTTGGTCCATGGGCCAGGAGCATCCTTGTCACCTGGGAGCCCATTAGAAATGCAGAATCCCAGGCCTACCGATCAGAACCTGCATTTCAACAAGATCCTCAAGTTGTGCTTATGTGCATTACAGTTTGAAAAGCACAGATCTAGGACAAAGGGAGCAAAACCAAGAGGTTCTTTAAAAAAAAAAAAGGTCATCAAATTATTCTTCTTTAGATAAAAATGGGCAGACACAGCCATATATATAACTAATATTCAGATTTATGTAATGTTTAACAGCTGAAATACTGTCTATATATATTTGTGTGGCAGCGCTATCATTCTCATTTTAAATGTGAAGGGAACGAGAGGTTATTTAATGACTCCTAGTCAGCTGGCCGGCAGACAGCACAGGGAGCCAGGGACCCAGGTCTTGCCCCTGAGGCACAACTTCCTTAGGTCACGAAGAAGCTGCTCGTGGTCACTGGTATGAGGCGATCATTACGGGGCTGGATGACTCAAGAGTGACAATCACCCAAACAAGTTCCATTTTTTAAATGTACCTACATTTCCTTCCATCTTAAACAACAAGAACAATTTCCTTCCTTCCTATTCATTTGGAAATATCATTTTCAGGCCACAACTAACCACATTAGAGGACCTGAATGAGAAAAATGTGGAAATAGCGAAAATAAAATTTCCTCTCATCAGTCTGTTGCCTCATTCCCTGCTGAAATAGGACCAGGATTTCAGAGGATGTTTGAGGAAAGCAGCTATTGAAGAAATACAATTAGCAGGCTAAGTTCCACATACTTTCCCATTTACTTACCATTTCGGTAACAAATTTGATTCTTTGGTTTTCTGCCAGTGCTTCCTGAGGGACGAACGCCAAGTAAGCTGGGGATCAACACTGGGTCTACTGCTGTTTAAGAGAGGTCAGAAGTGCCCTCCGAGGCAGACCTACCTCTGTAGGGGTCCTGGGGCGGGTTCAGGTCAGGGGAAGTTGCAGACTGGACAGGAAGCTGTGGGACGGGAACCTGGTTTGGCAGAAGAGAATGGCTGCCTCTCAGGGCCACGCCATCTTCACGATGGGCCCCGACCTGAAAGGGTGAGAGGGACCACAGAGTTTATTGGGAACCAGAGGTGTGACTGCTATTTATTTCCAGGGGCAGCCAAGGACCAGGTGAAAGCAAACTGGCCTTTGAAAAAAAACAATCCTCCCAAATGCATTTCACTAGAGGGCGCTGAAGGACCGCATATGCACCTATAATTCCCTGCGAAAACACTTAACACTCAGTAAGATGCCGTGCTGTACATTCAGTGACAAATATGGCAGAGTATCTCAGGCAGGTAAAACGTCAAATTGTCTCCCAGGGTGCTGCAGTGGAGCGCACTGATTCGTACCCATCTGTCTTCTATCATGTCCGCCAACAGATCTGACAATTATCTTAATGCCCATATGCTTAATTGTGGGCTTCTCAATTCCCCCATTGCTATCGGAAATCCTACAGGAATTTCAATTTGGCATTCGACTTTCATTTCAGGGGATAAGATTCTCAGGCCTGCCATTTTTTTTTTCCATAATGCCAGCTAAGCCTCTGACAGCGGAAGCTACAGCAGTATGGGACATAGCCCCTGCTCGGTACAAATATAATAAAATGTCACCTGGCTTTCCCAAACTGGCAGCCCATTCCAAATTAATGTTTACTGTATTTCATCAGCTGCTGAGTTCCAAATCCAAAGGGGGACCGTTTCTGCCAATGCCACCACACCGGAAAATGTACCAATAAAGGTTTTATTAAACACACCAGTAATGCCATCATTGCCATGAAAAGATGTTTGGACATTTTTCCATTTTCCCCCCACTATTCTGATCCTAGAAAGACACCATATTGTAAACACTCTTTATGCTTCCACGAATAAAATTATAGAGTACTGCATGATTACTTGATTTGAGAAAAAAAAGATATTGCTGAGCTTTTTATTTACTGCTACTACCTGCTTTGGGGTCCAGAGACATTGAACTTGTGGCAGCAATTTATAGCACGTGCCTTAAAGCAAAACCATTAAGCATTTATAAACTAAGAGGAACATGAGTAGTTCATATTTTCTTTTGTATTTCTAAGTAGTTATTTTCTGAGCCTGTTGTTAAGTGAACATTTATGCAGGACAGTGGGCCTAAAACTAAAAAGTATTTACTCATGCATTTATACTGCTATGAATCAAAACTTAATTTTTTTAATCCAAAAATAATAACATCACAAAGCAGAATCTTCACTCTTTTGCTACCAAAAAATGTTTTAAGAGTATTTCTAAAGAACGCACAACAAGAACCTGAACCAACAACAAATGCACAGGACCGAAGCACATGCTATTTAAAGACAGGCAAGTATTAATTGTCAGCTATACACACACATGCACACATACAGATACGCTCCAAAACAACACTCACGCACAAATAATTCAGGTGAAGAAGATCACATAAATCATACTCATTGTTCAGATTCAAAATATAGCAAGACTAGTAAAAGGCTCAAGGCTTATAAACATCAGAAGTATAAATGAATGCTACAGCTGAGACATCTGGGAAGTCCTGTGCTAACTGGTGCCTGTGATGTGACACAGAACTTTCTGGATGGTGGTTATTTAGCCTATATGGAACTACTTTAAATGTACTGAGATCCTGATTTTCTTTCAAAGCAGCCATTCCATTTCCTCACAAATTGGCCTCTTTGCAGATTCCACTCTCTGGTCCTAGGTTCAACTTCTGGAGTTCCATAGCTCAAGTGAAGACCATTTCCATATAGTCAGCTGTGTAGACATACCCTGCTTCCTGTCTTTCCTCTGGGGCTGAAGTCACTCTCTTACAGACGGACCATGACCAGCGGGCTCCTTCAACCATTTCTCATTCACTCTTCCCATATATTTTTATTTTTATTGCCAGTAAGAGCGATAGCTATTTTCCATTTGGGTTTTGATTTGACATTTTTATATTTGTGCATTTAGAAGACTGATTCAATAAATGATTATCCTTTCAATCTAAGATGTCAACTTGTAAGCATTAATTTTACAGGCCTTGATCAAATGGCACCTCTATGTCTGTCAGTCAATGTAAACCCAAATAATTACCTTATTGCTGATTCTTATTTATTGGCATTCCCAAATGGATTTAACTTCTTGAGTTTCCACAAAGAATGATTCAAAGTTGGAATCACTGAAGGTAGCCACAGATTTGAGCATAGGGAAGATGTCTAGTCCTTCTATTTCAGAATCATTCTATTAAGATCCCCCTTCTTTGTAGAGGCATCTGTGACGAACTTAAGGTTAATAGTTTGCTTTTCACTTAAAATATATGCAGCTATCGATCCTGAAATTTTTCCCCCTTTTGAGCAGCGGTCCAGACCTTTCTGCCACCAAGAACCAGTTTTTTGGAAGACAATTTTTCCACAGACCAGGGTGGTGGGAGTGGTTTTGGGATGAGTCAAGCTCATTACATTTATTGTACACTTTATTTTTATTATTATTACATTGTAATATATAATGAAATAATTATACAACTCCCCATAATACAGAATCTAATGCCGCTGCTAATCTGACAGGAAGTGGAACTCAGGCGGTGATGCAAGCCATGGGGAGCGGCTGTAAACACAGATGAGGCTTCCCTCACTCATTTGCCACTCCCCTCCTCCTGTATGGTCCAGTTCCTATTAGGCCATGGACCACTACTGTCTGTGGCCCAGGGGTTGGGGACCACAGCTCTAGAGCACACTGAGATAAGTTCTCATAAGAGGAAAAAAGAACCCACAAACAATTACCTTTTTATTTTCTTTGCCTCAACTATTATGAAAGACTATATAACTGAGTGAAAAGAGTACAATAATCACAGCATCTAGATGATGATGATTCTTTTTTTCTTTTCTTTTCTTTCTTTCTTTCTTTTTTTTTTTTATGAGACAGGGTCTCATTCTGTCACCCAGGCTGGTCTTGAACTCCTGCCCTCTAGCAATCCTTCCGCCTCAGCCTCCCAAGTTGCTGGGATTACAAGCATGAGCCACCATGTATGACTTTAGATTCTAAATGTTAACTGGCTTATTCGTTAGCTGTTATTAACCATTGTAAGTTACTGAAATGCAAAAAGAAGAAAATAATGCTAAAAGTTATATAGAGAATAAGTCCCAGCTTTATTGTAAGGATTAGTGATAGTACAAACAAAACAACTGGCACACAGTAGGTACGTAATAATTACAGATAGTATTATGTATTTGAACTGAATATACTTGCATATTACATAAAAGTAACAGCCTATGTAGTTCAAGAACCCTCAAAACTCTAGCCACCTTCACTCATGGTCATCTTTGTGCTCTGTCTCTATTTAGTTCATATTCATGTGATTCCAAATCTTTCTCCTGTACAATGACAGAAACATCTTAAACGGTATAAATACATTTGAAAATATAGCCGTTCCATTGATATTTTTGTCTGGATTTTAGACGTGTTACTTGGCCTATTTTCTACAGATCATCTTAGAGCATCACAAATAGTATCAATCTTCTTCCATAAAGGAAGTTAGAGACAGAGTTGTCCTTGATGTCTTAAGGCCTCCCTTGTCACTACGTGTATTCCGGGTCACAGGAATGACCTCTGAAACGTCCAGATCCAAGCGGTAACGAGCTTGGTTCTCCAGGATCAATTCTGCTGCCTGTGACTGGGGAACAGTATTCCAATTTGAAGAATTAGCTTTGCTTTGCTTGTTTCCTTGGTCACAGACAGCATGTTCTAACCCTATTTACTTCTCTTTCAGAAACATTATTTCTGGTCACATAAGAGACCAGGAAAAGAAACACCATGGATAGTCAGCACAAATCCATCACTAAAATAATTCAGAAATAGAGTAACCGGTACCGCCATCTGTATATATATAAAGGTCAGGGATTTGCCCACTTTCATGTAACAAATATATAATAATGTAAACAGGAAAAAGAAGATTGCTTCAATTTATAAATTAATTCTAAGTATGACACACGGCTCCTATTTTTAGAAAATCCATACTTCACTAAAGCCCTATTTTGATAACCTTTTTATATAGATAATGATAGCCTAAAGTTAAAAGCCAGCTATGAGATAGTTAATTTTATTAATACTGATTGTAAATTTTTTGCAATCTTTACAGAGTCTCCTCATAGTCACGTATATACAGTTTTAGATATATTTACATTTAAAGTAAAAGATAAAAGTAAAATTTAAAAATTATTCCATAATTATTAGTTGACTGATCAGAGAGTATATTTATTAATTCAGTAAACATTTTCTAATCTAGTCCATGCTTCCCACTTAGTGAGGTGTTGGGAACAGAGTGGTGAATAACTCAGATGTGGCCTCTGTCCTCATGGGACTTATAGTGATCCTTTGGAAGATTTCTGTGCATTGATCAATTTAGGGTGGTAGGAACAGAGACTTATTCCAGTTTATTAAAATAAAAGGAGATTTATCATAATGATTTCTGTGACTTAGGTTTTGGACCCAGAGAGCTCTTGGGACCTAAGGCCATTCATTGCCTCTTCTGGGCCGTTCAGTCTCTTCCCTCCCTCCGAGGTCACCTTGGCTTCTTTTGTCTGGCTCCTGCCCCTCAAACTATAGGCTGGTGTCTCTTGGTGCAGTCTTCTTGGTGTTTCTTGGTATATCCTTTCAGGTTATGTACTTGCTGCTAACTCCCTCTCTTATCTAGGTTCAGAAGGCCAAGATCATCTGATGGCCCAGCTCATTTTAAAGCAGACTTGGGGCATCCTATGAATGGGCCACCCTAGAATCAGGCGTTTTCCTGACCCAGTGAGCTACAAAGAGGAGGAGGAGATAAGATCCTAATTCCAAACATGACTGCCTTAGGATGTCCCTTCTACAGGCCTGGTAAATCATTACTGGTCCAGGTACATGCAAATGTCTAAGTTACACTGTATCTTAGGTCAAATTATATTCAAATTCTGACATAGCTATTTAAATTCTTCTGCGTGCATTTATCATTGGGAATAATTAAATACCTTTAGATATGCATTAATTCTTTTGAATCCCATAAGCACCATAGAATCTTAAATAATCTTATTTT